TTGGCAGGGAGTACCAATGGCATCAGGGGATGGATTAATCGTCTCCAACTGTTCTCGTTTCTGACGCACAACTTGTTAGAAACTAGGAGTAACATATTTGTAGCGAGAGAATTGCATGCCCTCCGAGCACGGTGCTTGAAAATTTGGCATTATCATGCTCTGTGAAACTGGCAAAACTTTACCAGCCTTATGTCAGGAACTTCGCTGAATTCTGCTCTATTTCATTTTCCACATATCAAGCATGCATGAAACACCAGAAAGTGCCAATTTCCGCCAATTATTCTGTCAGCGTTATACGCTATGGGCTAGTATTTATACTCAATCTTAGGACAGCATGCTATCTCGTTCCTTGTGAACTCATCAGCGCAGCAGAGAGGAAATGAGGCCGAACCTGATAGCAATGAAAATAAAAATTTCCAACCAGGCCTGTATATATAACGGTTTCAGTGATTCTATCAGAAATACATTAATACTCTGTGAATAATTATCAATGTTTAGATGCAATTATACTTAGAAGTGGGACACACGCCAGGCTAACCTTTTGAATGTTTTTTGTTTTATTCCATTGTCCATGTTGATTTGATTTTTGCCTGTATTTCATCTAATGATAAGGCATGAAAGCCCATGTATACTAGTGGAAACTTTCAAAATGTTGAGCCTGAAGCGTGTCCGGTTTCTCAGTATAAGTCAGTACAAGTGAATTCTTGTCTCCAAGGAAAATGTTCAGATGCTGGGTATTTTCCCAAACCGTTGCCTACAGGTACTTAGTAGTGGCTGGCAAGGCACTGCTCGGTTACTGCCATCACCTGGTATGCAGAACTCGAACACCGACTACAATGTCTTTGGAACGGGCCGCGGGCCTGGTTGCCACGCTCGATATTCTCGTGCTATTTTTCATTATTATTTTCACTGTATTATTGTCAATGTCGTTTAGGTTGAGCACTCTTACCTTGACGCGAACCCTTGCCGCTCGCCTTGTGCAACGCTCACTACTCTTGGAGCATCACGAGCACTCTTGGCGGGGTTTGCAGCTCTTTATAAAAATGCTTTGCTTCACGGAAACGTATTTCTTTGCTTAGAGCTGCGCTTAGGTCCTCTGAGCTGTGCTGAGGAGCTCTAGCAGAGCGAAACAGTTGCTGTCAACAGATTTGAGTACTTTATTTTTGTGTATTCTTCACTCATCTTCGTTTACGTGTTCTTCTGACGGTTGAACAAATGAGCGGTGTTGGCTTTCCAACCACAACAGATAACCCTTTTCTAACAACTTTAGTATTCATTACATGGCTGGAGCCGGCCCCAACAAAATCATAATTTTAGGATTGTAGTCGCGGAATTGACTTATCTCTCTGCACGCAGCCAAGCGGTGCGAGCAAGTTAGCACAGCGTTTCGCGCAGCAGGCTTAGCTCACGGGGGAGAACGGCACATTCCGGTAGCATCTTTCGTTCACGTGAGAACCGCAGCAGTAATTTCACGAACACATTCACTCTGAAAAACTTTCCTCGAAGACAAAAGTGCTACGACACTAAGTATGAGGACACTCTTTAGCTTGATCGACATTACAAATTATTCCGCGAGCATATTTTCACACCATTCATTCGCAATTTGGTTTAGATCACCGGGAAGTATATAAACCACGATATAAAGGATGAACAAATGTAGCTTAATTAAAAAATCCAGCGAGGAGACAATGATTTGATAACCGCAATCAATAAGACAAGCTAAATCGACAGTTTTCTCTGCACCTTTTCTTCCTATGTTCATCGTATAAATGCACACTGTCTCCACCATTTTACATTGCATGGTTAAAATATACCCAAATGTCGTTTCAGCGTGTCTTAGTGATAATGATTATCAAATCTAACTTACCTCACTTTCAACGATCCCCTTTAGCTTGGCAAAAGTAGTTACCGGAACGACCTCCTTGGTAAAGTTTTCTTTGCCGCAGTAGCGGGGAGCGTATACATGACTCGAAGCAGACGTAACCGTAACCACTGTTGTGTGTACATGTGCGTATCAGTCCCAGCATAATCAGGCGTGTTGTACATATAATTATGAGAATTGCCAGTTGGCATCTGACAGAGATGCCTGGCAGTCACCAGGTCACACTGTGCATCTACTGCTTACACAGCTGCATAATGCTTTTTTATTTTATATTTTACTATTATTATTTTTTCGGGAACGCAGATATGATGATGATGATAATGATGTTATACATGTATGCAATTGGCGTGACCACCAGACAAAGCTTGGCCAATCGGAAGTCACAAGAGACCTTTTCCGCTTGCACAGGTCTCCTTCTGTGCGCGCACGTCACACGTACTTAGTAAGTCAGTCCAGTGTGGCTGCATGGACATGATCTATAATGTGTTTCTATTATTATTATTTTAAACTTTGCGGTAATCATTCTTTGGTACTCGGATGGAGAGTCGAGGAAAATTTATAGAAAAGAAAAAAAGGACCAAGGAACTACAAGTTACGCTATAATGTCCACTACCACCACCAGTTACTAAACAATCAGCTCGCGCCATAACATTGCACGGCGCTGAGCGACGGTACTGACGTTCTACAACTATTAATGGCTAACAGCTTTAGCACATCTTGGATGTTAACTCCAACAGCCTTCGAACTAGGAACGTTCTAAGTTATAATAATGATTTGAGGATGTACATGCATGTCGATGACGATACTAGCAAGACCATTGGACAAACCGGTCAAACCACGACTCAAGCATGCAAACAACATTCCACACAACTTGTGTTGCTCAAAGATGCGAAGATCAATAATATAAGGGAAGCTATGCGAACAAGAATCAATTAAAACCGAACGCCTCAGTAAAATAGCACTGTAATTCGACCATGACAATTCAGAAATCCGGCGGAACGATCCGCGTGCGAAACTGCGGCTTGTTACTGGTCTTGCCAGTATCGTCATCGACATCCATGTTCATCCGCTAACGTCCTCCACAGCTGAGACTTTTCAGCTTCTGCTTGTCTTGCCTGCACTCACCTTCCCCTCCTACATTTTCATTATTTAAACCATTCTGTTTATCGCTTATGTTCAGCTACATGTATAATTATGTCACGAAGACGGGGCAGAGATGTTGTATTTCTCGCCGGCCGAGCGCAGCGAGATAGGCGAGAAATGATTTCTCGCGAAATATTTTTAGTTGCAAATATATTATGGCATATGGTGTGTTCTTTATTGTCGCTTTTTTTTTTAAATTCCAGAAATTCAAACAGTCAGCAATCGGCGATCAAGAGTCATCTGTCTGTTAGTCATAGTTGTCGTGAGTTGTACAGAGATGATGTTTTCTCAGTTTTGGCCCGTGGCAGATCTGTATTACATTTGTCTGTTTTTGAAGCGTTATATATTCGCAAGTTGTCCCCTGAACTGTGTGTCCAGAAGGAAAATGTTCTGTCGCTTCAGTTGTTTGGCGCTAATCCTCGTGAAAGTGTCAGGAATGCTTCTTCGCATTGATGCTTTCATTATATCCCCTGCAATGTGTGACTGTGTGGATCACGTCCGTGTTGTCACCTTTTCTTTCGAAAATGGATACGCCTCCAATTTTTTCTTTGCAATAACGAGAGAGCTTGGAAGCTCAGGGCCCTACGCTATGCTTTTTTTGCCTTGATGACCTAGACAAAAAAAGCATAGGGATGTTATAAATTTGTAAGAAAGGTTTGCTCCCCACTCCGGAGCTCGCGCTATTCCGCCGAATTTACTTGACACTTGACTGACTCACGACTGCCATCCAGAGCACACGAGAAGTCCATCGAACCTTCGACTCGGCAAACCTGCAAGAAAGCACCACTCCCTGCTCAATACACAGTAATAAACCTTTCTTACAAATCATCGCCGAAGTCGCAACCACTACTTCGTGATGTTATAAATTCTTTAAAAAAATCTTTTTTTTTTAAGACATAACCTGGGATTCGAACCCGCACTATCGCGCGCCCTGCATGCATCCCCCGATACACTTCGCATACATACTAATTCTTCCAAGTTCTTTCACATTGTGGTCTTGCATTTGAAAGCCCTATTTGAATATGCATTGTGGCCAGCCGTCTTTGATGGCACGGTACGGTAGGGGATATGTACGGGACAGGTACGATCGAGGGTAATACGACACCGTCTCCCGTACCGTACCATTAAACACAGCTGGCCACATACAGCTGCCCGCAATATTCAAATAAGGCTTTCAAACGCAAGATAATAACGTGATTTACGTGAAGCAACTTGGAAGAATGGGTGTGAATGCGAAGTGTATGGGGGAATGACGAAGACGTTACTGAAGTAACGTCTTCTGCATAGCTACTGGAATAATAATCATTTCATATTCCTTGCAATAATAATAATCATTTCATATATGTCGACATGTATGTGTAAAGTGTTGTACGATTATCGCAAGGCACACAAGGAAGGGAAAGTGAGGATTCGTTCAGAACTGTTTTCTTGTTACAATCATCAGTGAATCTACGTAACAATGGTATGGGGACTACTTGAACTAATCTTATATGGACAAATAAAAGTGAAAGAAGGTGAAAAAGAGCGAAACAAAAAGGTGATAATACTACATCTATTCAGTGGGGGCAAGCTCAGCAGGTAAGAAGGAGGATAAAGCGAGGATGAAGTATGAAGGAAGGGTGTGTGAAACGAACCGGAAGTGCAAAGGGACAAGGGAAAATACTTAGCAGAAAAACTGCTCAAGGAAAACGTACAAGTAACACCCAACAGTGAGAAACATCACCAGTCCACCGATCGCCCAGCGCATTGTCTTCATACGAGTACTGCACTAAGCTCGAAGATAGCATGGTGTTGGAGGTACCTAACGCCAGCACATCATACATCAAGAGATATAGAACGGTTCAGTAGAGTGTTTAAGACAGATTTGTTAATTCGGTTTGCAGAATAAGATGGGGAGGTTTCGGAAGGTATTGTTTAAAACATCAACTTGAAGTTTTAAAACTGCGTTTATTTTCAAATTCAGGTCCGACGAGGAGACGGAAAGCATTATTTTAATGATCAGAATGTGTGACAAAAATGTGAATGCATAATTTCATATCTGATATGTTTGAAATCCTGCGAAACAACTTAATGTTCAATCTTGACGTTGACAATTGCAGTTGTCACCAGCGGAACTTCTCGGACACTGTCGACTGTGTAACCCAAAATTGCGGCGTTTCGCGGACATCTGGTGGCGTAGGCGGCCGTGTCGCTGGCCTCTGACGTGGGCGTTCAACCTGGTTTATGAATCGACCTTTGGCATCGAAGCGGTCAGGAACTTGCATGTGCGCCGGACGCTCGTCAATAAACATATACGTGCAGGCTGGTGGTTCGCCCCAATCATGCAGGAACGGATCATGCTCTTCTTCCTCTTCAATGCATTCAAGGACCTCTTCTTCCTCTTCAATGCATTCAAGGACCTCTTTCAGTGGATCGGCGCAGGCACCTTGGCAATGCGAATCAAGCTCTTTCATTTCAATGCATTCGGGGAGCTCATCCAGTGGCTCGGCGCACGCACCCTTGCCCTGCGAATCAAGCGCTTTCATTTCAATGCATTCGGGGCTCTCGTCAAGAGATTCGTATGCTACTTTTCTGGACCTCAGGCTCATGCTTCTGCTGCCTAAACCAGAAAAACTCATTCCTCGACGGAACAAGCTTCGTTTTCTACTGGCTCTTCGTTTACTGTAATCTTCCTCCTCTCTCAGGGCCTCTTCTTCGGCTCTCAAGGCCTCTGCAGCCTCGCGTTCCATTTCCAGTATTTCTTCTTCATTTGGTGTTGTGGCTGATGTTGGTCGCCAGAACTCAGTTTTGCCCACTACCATATTTTGGCCTCCACCGACTGATACTCCGGCTGCGGCAGCAGCTGCCTGAGCCTGGCCAAATGCACCTTCCGCACCCTCTATACAAGCGAAAATCCCTGCGCAGTAAGCTACGATCAAATCATTCCAATCCTCCACAGGTTGGGCCTGACCAGGTGGTAAAACTGGTTTTGGACCAGAGCCCAGCACTTGCGATACTCCTTGCAGTAAAAGCTTGTCTCTTTTTCGTTTCTCATCGAACACTTGCAGCCACTCTCCTCTTTCCTGGACGTTGTATAATAAATCGACTAAGGAGCCCGGTTCTCTATGCAAACACAATAAACAAACAGATACACGTACATAGCAATGGAGAGGGGAATGTTACAAATTTGTTGCTGCAACAGTTTTGTTCTCATAATATACAACATCCAGAAAGAATGGAATAGCGGAAGATTGTACAACAGAATGTGTTCGAGTGTTTGTTTGTATGAGAGGTAGATTTACTCAGGATGAATACATAGATCTTGTTTTTATAGGCAGTACAAAAAAGTTCTAAAATCTCACTGCATCACGATATCCCTGACCATGCTGGGAGGGATCTTCAGCATATCTCCCGTTCTTTGCAGCGCTGCAGGAGATAGTACAGTAGATCTTTCCATGTACTCCGTGTTGTATCCGGGCTTGTAGCCTGGCGTGTCAGTGAACCAAAAGTCATGAAGCAGGTCCATCGCAGCAGGTCGTCGTTCCGGGTTATATATCAGGCAATGACATATTAATCTCTTAAGGTCTGCATTGGATGGAAAATAACGCAAAATTCTTGCTTAGTCACACGTAAACAGCGATCATTGTTGACACAGTAAATCTCACATACACTAGTACGTACGCTCGCTTAATACAATCTTGCTTGGTACAGATATAGCCTGAAGCACCGGTATAATAATTATAGGAAAGGTTAAGATGCACGTTATTTCTGACATGAACCGAAATTTTAGCTCGCGTTATTTGGCCCGTGCGTCTAAAAACAATGTGAGTGCCCTTTACCTCACGTCGAAATTTAGACGTGAGCTGCACTACACTATAATACCAAATTGGACATGAAGTTGGGTGTCACGACGGAAACGAGAGAGCTTGGAAGCTCAGGGCCCTACGCTATGCTTTTTTGCCTTGATGACCTAGACAAAAAAAGCATAGGGATGTTATAAATTCTTCTTATTATTATTATTACGCATATACTCATGGCCAAGGCCAATCAAGGAGGTGGTGAGGGAGAATATAGCCAGCAAATGCAGCCATGGCAAAAATAGAAGAAAGAAAAACAAGTGAAAATCAGAACGACAACAATAAAAGAAGAGATTGGGCTGCAAATCAAGTTGTATTATTAGGTTTACGGGAAATGGTCCGAGAGATCACGAACAAAGGCAGAAATGTTTTCACATGATTGCATTTTTTGGGGAAGTGAGTCCCAGAGACAATAGCTAATGAAAACAGGCGAGCGACTCATTGAGTTATTTCTTGAAATATTGAATCTTAGTTTTTTTCGACCTGACGAAGAGGAGTTAAACCAGTTAAGCGCATTTTGAATATGCATTGGGGCCTTCAGCAGTTTAATCTGATGGATAAATCTACAGCAGAGTCTGTTAATTATAGTTTGTGAAGGACAGGTTTTGCATTGGGAATACAGAATTGTTAATGGCGTGTCAAGTGGTAAGCGAAATATCGCGATGCATTAGTTCAAGCCGCGTAAGCATTCCTGCTCCAGCATTGAACCACACAATGCTACAGTATATAATGATGGGTAAGGTATAGGAGGCGTAGAAAGCCCGACGACATACTAGTGGTAAATGGCTCATGTGACTGTATAGAACACCAACAGCCGAACTTGTCCGGCACTCGAGATATTCCAGATGGTGGGACCAACTCATGCCTGAGTCGAAGATGACTCCAAGGTGTTTGTGGTGGCTAACAATTGGGATGGGCGTTTGGTCGTCAGGGAAGTGGAATAGGTACTGGTCGATGAAGGAAAGATTGGAACGCGGATGAGGTGGAATGCACAATATGACAGTCTTTCCAGCACTCGGTCGAAGTTTCCAGAGACGCATCCATTCAACCACTGAGCGAATTTCCGCCTGCAAAGAATTACACGCCATGGGCAGGGAAAGTTCAGATGCCACAAGAGTAGTATCATCGGCGTACAGGGAGGTATTTGGAACGCGAGTTTTAAAAGTCATTTACATAGAGCAAGAAGAGAAGAGGACCAAGACATTAGTGTTGAGCCGTGTGGCACACCGGAACATACTTCGAGCGGTTGGGACAGCGATCCTGCCAGCCCTCACCTGTTGGACCCGGCAGGATAGGTAGCTTTCGAGCCACCACAGAACATTGCCACCGATGTTAAAGAAGGCGACTTTGGCCAACAAACCACGGTGCCACACTGTAGCAAAGGCCTTTGATAGGTGGAAGAAATAAACTAGGCTGAAGTTGTGCTGATGTCTGCGTTCCAACAGGTTCTGAGTAAAGCGTGCAAGTTGCCACGCGGTAGCATCTCCTTTGTGGAATCCAGACTGGGCTGGAGATAGTGATGATCCGGTGCGGGACAGGTATGGTCGAGGGTGATACGACACCGTCTACTGCATACCACCTTGACGAACTAGGCAAAAACGCATAGGGATGTTATAAATTTTTCAATTCTCCTATTGTTTTCTGCATAGCTACGGGAATTGAAGCTGTGTGGACCATGGCTAGCGCCAGACGTTACTGAAGTAACGTCTTCTGCATAGCTACGAGAATTAAAGCTGTGTGGACCCTGGCTAGCGCCAGACGGTACTGAAGTAACGTCTTCTGCATAGCTACGGGCATTTAAGCTGTGTGGACCCTGGCTAGCGCCAGACGTTACTGGAGTGACATCTCCTGCATAGCCACCAGAGTAATGTGCATCTTAGCATCTCTACTGACCCATAATGACGTATTTGGGGATAAGGCTACCTCGATTACTAATTACCCTTTTTCTAGTCAAAAGCAGTACGCAACGTATGAGTTCCATGCCACGCTCTAATTTGTTCCTGCATTCGGCATCACTCTTGCTTCACGTCACTTTGTTCTCCATGCCAATTAAGTGTGACCAGTCGTGAGACAAATTTCGTGACAGGAATGTGAAATGATAAAAAATATATTATTCCCGTAGCTATGCAGAAGACGTTACTTCAGTAACGTCTGGCGCTAGCCAGGGTCCACACAGCTTTAATTCCCGTAGCTATGCAGAAGACGTTACTTCAGTAACGTCTGGCGCTAGCCAGGGTCCACACAGCTTTAATTTGGTGTTTGTTTGTGTGTTTGTTTGTTTGTGTCACGCCTGGCGCTATCCGTATCTGACGGCAAAAAGCATAGGATGTTATAAATTTTTCAATTCTCCTTTTTTTCAGGCATATCCTGGGATTCGAACCCGCACTATCGCCCTACATGCATTCCCCCATACACTTCGCATTCATACCCATTCTTCCAAGTTGCTTAACGTTTTTATCTTGCGTTTGAAAGCCCTATTTGAATATTGCGGGCAGCTGTATGTGGCCAGCTGTGTTTGATGGTACGGTACGGTACGGGAGACGGTGTCGTATTACCCTCGATCGTACCTGTCCCGTACCTATCCCCTACCGTACAGTGCCATCAAAGACGGCTGGCCACAATGCATATTCAAATAGGGCTTTCAAATGCAAGATCACAATGTGAAACAACTTGGAAGAATTAGTATGTATGCGAAGTGTATCGGGGGATGCATGCAGGGCGCGCGATAGTGCGGGTTCGAATCCCAGGTTATGTCTTAAAAAAAGGAATTTTTTAAAGAATTTATAACATCCCTGCTTTTTTTTGTCTAGGTCATCAAGGCAAAAAAGCATAGCGTAGGGCCCTGAGCTTCCAAGTTCTCTCGTTTGGTGTTTGTTTGTTTGTTTGTTTGTGTCACGCCTGGCGCTATCCCGTATCTGTCCCGTACTGTACCGTACCAGCAAAGACAGCTGGCCACAATATTTTTGTTTGTGCCATCGACATGCCTGGCGCTATCCCGTACCTGTCCCGTACCATCAAGAGAATGAGTATATGCGAAGTGCATCGGGGGAATGCATTCAGTGCAGTAACATTTTGTGTGGATTTGTGTGCGAGGCCGAGATCCCACTAGCAGGCTGGCTGGGCCGCCTGTCGACCAGCCCGGGAATCGCATGTAGGCGGATAGCATAACGTTTATACCAGGAAGTCGTAAAATACCTGGTATTGTACGACTCCCTGGTTTATACAGTCATGTAGATGTATAGCAGGGAGTCATATTATGTAAACGACTCCCTGCTGTATGGGGAGATTTTCTGGAAAGAAATACGAAGTAGAGAGACGAGTGAATGCAATCAGAATGGATGTTAGTTGCCGTCAGTATAATAATAAGAAGAAGATAAACGCCCGTGATCGGCAGAGTCAGCGCCGCCCGGTCCCAGGAAACGTCAGGACAGACATCCCGTCGACTCCAGAACGCCCGTGATCGGCAGAGTCAGCGCCGGTCCCATAGCTATGCAGAAGACGTTACTTCAGTATCTCATCGAAACGTTTTTGCAATACAATGATGTAGCTAATCAAAGGAAAAAGCATTTCAGTTCTAACAACATGCACGAGGAGCTAGGCAACAAAGCATAGCGCAGGGCTCTGAGCTTTCAAGCTCTCTCGTTTGGTATTTGTTTGTTTGTGTGTTTGTTTGTTTGTTTGTTTGTTTGTGTCACGCCTGGCGCTATCCGTATCTGACGGCAAAAAAGCATAGGATGTTATAAATTTTTCAATTCTCCTTTTTTTTCAGGCATATCCTGGGATTCGAACCCGCACTATCGCCCTACATGCATTCCCCCATACACTTCGCATTCATACCCATTCTTCCAAGTTGCTTCACGTTAATCTTGCGTTTGAAAGCCCTATTTGAATATTGCGGGCAGCTAGACGGTGTCGTATTACCCTCGATCGTACCTGTCCCGTACCTATTCCCTACCGTACCGTGCCATCAAAGATGGCTGGCCACAATGCATATTCAAATAGGGCTTTCAAATGCAAGATCACAATGTGAAACAACTTGGAAGAATTAGTATGTATGCAGTAGTGCATCGGGGGCTGCATGCAGGGCGCGCGATAGTGCGGGTTCGAATCCCAGGTTTAAAAAAAATGATTTTTTTAAAGAAAACATCCCTATGCTTTTTTTTGTCTAGGTCATCAAGGCAAAAAAGCATAGCGCAGGGCCCTGAGCTTCCAAGCTCTCTCGTTAATATGAATTCGGGTGGACACTTTTTGAGAGATTCTGGGCTGAAGTGTCAAAGCTGTCATCACACTAGCCAGAGATATGATGGGATGGCTTAAAGCCAGGCGACTAAGCTAGATGTGGCAATGTAGCACTCAAGAATGGTTGGCGCTAACGGCACCCAGTACACGTACGAGTTTTCATGGTCGCTTTAACTTGACCTTTGCCGAGATGTAAACGAATGAAACTTTAGAAACTTTTAAAAAGGCTGGTAATGTTCATCGTCCAAAAGCAATAGTAGATGGGTGAGTTGCTGTTGTTAGAGGATGCCTAGCCTCAAACAGTGCTACGTGTCCTGGAAGAGCACTCCAGCAGCCTTCCATGGAACACACAATACAATCGTATAATGCAATTGCACAGAAAGCAGGGGGAAAGATGATGGATTGGTGGACAGATTGACAGGCGGATAGGAGGCGAATGTTGATGGAAACACATCTATAATGTGGTCCAGCACTCCTCACACAATTTCAAGCTGCCTGAAACTCACCGTCAGAAAGAGACTCGTACGCTTCATCCCAAAGGAGTGCGCTAAAATTCATCACTACTCGTTGATGAGTGCCGAAGTACTTTCCTCTGGGAAAGCAGACGGGATAGACGTTTGGTGATCTTGCAGTAACCATTTGGAAGATTGTTACTCCCCTATTGATACATACAAAACCAGGGTGAGTTGAATGAGTGAGAAAAGGAGAATGAGTTTAAAACGAAAGTGCAACGTCGTTATACACACAACTCAGTGTATTACGCCACTTCTTAAATGAGCAAATCAGCACGACGTAAAGTCTCAGAATTCTTAATACTAGTTCTCGAGTCACACCACGCGCTGTTGAAAATGCAGGATCGTGGCTCGATTTATGTCTAATGTATCTCAAGAAGCTTTGCTCGCAGGGCGTCGTGAATTGCTTCTACGGCATGTGAGATTTATGGCTTCGCCCTAGATATTGGTTGTTGTGTATAGTGTTTGTCACCATATTGTCCCTCTCCGTATAGTCTCTCTCTCATCTACAAATATGCATGCTCGTTGTAAACGAGAGAGCTTGGAAGCTCAGGGCCCTACGCTATGCTTTTTTTGCCTTGATGACCTAGACAAAAAAAGCATAGGGATGTTATAAATTCTTTTAAAAAATCCTTTTTTACGACATAACCTGGGACTCGAATCCGCACTATCGCGCGCCCTGCATGCATCCCCCGATACACTTCGCATACATTTGTTTGTTTGTGTCACGCCTGGCGCTATCCGTATCTACCGGCAAAAAAAGCATAGCATGTTATATATGTTTCAATTCTCCTATTTTTTCAGGCTTATCCTGGGATTCGAACCCGCACTTTCGCTCTACATGCATTCCCCCATACACTTCGCATTCATACCCATTCTTCCAAGTTGTTTCACATTGTGATCTTGCATTTGAAAGCCCTATTTGAATATGCATTGTGGCCAGCCGTCTTTGATGGCACGGTACGGTAGGGGATAGGTACGGGACAGGTACGATCGAGGGTAATACGACACCGTCTCCCGTACCGTACCGTACCATCAAACACAGCTGGCCACATACAGCTGCCCGCAATATTCAAATAGGGCTTTCAAACGCAAGATAATAACGTGAAGCAACTTGGAAGAATGGGTATGAATGCGAAGTGTATGGGGGAATGCATGTAGGGCGATAGTGCGGGCTCGAATCCCAGGATATGCCTGAAAAAATAGGAGAATTGAAAAAATTATAACATCCTATGCTTTTTTGCCGTCAGATACGGATAGCGCCAGGCGTGACACAAACACACAAACAAATACCAAACGAGACACTTCGCATTCATACTCATTCTTCCAAGTTGCTTCACGTTATGATCTTGCGTTTGAAAACCCTATTTGAATAGTGCGGCCAGCTGTATGTGGCCAGCTGTGTTTGATGGTACGGTACGGTCCGTGACAGATACGTAATAGCGCCAGGCGTGACACAAACACACAAACACACAAACACCAAATTAAAGCTGTGTGGACCCTGGCTAGCGCCAGACGTTACTGAACTAACGTCTTCTGCATAGCTACGGGAATTAAAGCTGTGTGGACCCTGGCTAGCGCCAGACGTTACTGAAGTAACGTCTTCTGCATAGCTACGGGAATAAATCCGTGTTTGTCTTGTCCCAGAATGGAGTCCTGCGTGGCTCCGGGCGAACACAACATTGATTTCGTGCGTTAATGGTTGGATTTGAACTCGTTTTGACTGAGTTATGATCTCTTGAAATTTTCACTTAAATGCATCGTTTACGACGCTGTAAAGTACAGTGAAACCAAGAGTACATGAAATCCAGAGTGTGCAGTACGTATGGGTTGCTGTGACGGTGAAATTCCGTAATTACATCATTTTAGTGATGTAGTGCTTACAAGCAGGATTCAAGCAGGTCTCCTTCGGCACAACTGCAGCTCAGTTGTACGCACTACGCCATTTCCCGCCTCAGATCTTCGCCAAATATGATGTAACCACGGAATTCCGCCATGACAGACATCCTTAGAAGAAAGGGCCCCAAGCTTCACACTCTGGCTTTCTTGTTCTCTTGGTAACACCTGTAGCTGAAGACGACCGTGACTAGCGACCAGCCTGGTACTACAAACCACTTTCGCCAGGCATGGACGGTCTCACATTATGGATGTGCGCTGCAAACCTCTAACTAAGGACCACCTGCCATTAAAGACCGCTTTCTCTGGCCCTAAGGGGCGGTCGTTAGTCACAGGATTTACTGTATGGGGCGGCTCTCACAATGTTAAATCTGTGATAATTCACGCCACAAAATGTAGAATTTGGGCGGTAATGATTAGGCCTGGGCGGATAATGCTAGTTATTTTGCGGGATAATGCTAATGGCAATGCCAGAAAAACTGTATCATAATGCTACTTGTGATGCTGCTGTTCCTCTGTAATTCCAGCAATTCACCAGTAGTAAGTATGCAATAATGGCTTGGTTTGGGCAGTATTGTGCACGTTTCGTAGTTCTGCGTAGACAGCATGGAAAATGCTAGAAAATCATGATCATAATGATAATTTATGCTGCTATTGCTCCATACAATCCCTTGCAGCTAGCTGTCCAGCGAGGAAAGTCTCGAGTGGAGGCCTCTCGTTCTACTCGCTCATTCGCCTGGCATTCAGTAGCACTTCATCGCCAAGGACTTCAATTCAAAACAGTTTTCACACTGCACTTCAAGCCTTTTTTCCCGGTGAACTAGCTGCAGACGTATGAGCTCTGCTGCTCGTGTTCCCTTTGTGTGCGGCCCAGTAACAGCTAGTATCTTCGTACTTCGATTGGCTGGAGCGATGTCGTCCAGGTTCTCCTTGCTATTGCCATCACGACTCTAACTGGAGACGATTTCTTCACCATTTTCCGCAAGCAGCAGCTAGCGCAGAAATTTCGCCATCCCTGAGTGTAGGAGAGGGAATCCGTTCGATCAGCTCAAAAACTCTTCGCTGTGAAAAGAGGAGTACTAGTAGGGAATATTCTACCGGAAGTCCTTTGACTTCCCTGACTGCTGAAACCCTTCCTGCCATGACTGCTTCTTCTTCAAACAAGCGAGATTCTCTTTGGTTCTACTTCACTGCACTCGAGCGTCCAAGCGACACTACCTTTTTACTACACATCATATTTTTTCATCATTTTCTCAAAAAATGATTTTCACCCTTAGCTTGGTTTTCGGAGAAGAAAGGGCCATTTGAGTATAATGCCACTTTTACGGAAATGTAGTGTTCTAATGCTAGCATAATGCTCGTTGCAAATCGCACACTATAATGCTACTTATACTTCTAGCATTATCCGCCCAGGCTTAGTAATGATCCATATACATGTGGACAGAAAACATACAAGTAGTATATACGAGAACAAATTCCACTTCCACTTGCTGACTGGGTGAAACTAGACCGACTCAAGAATGGCGCCTGGTGCACATGAGAAGCATGTCGCACCATCCACGGATCACATTTTCATGAAAGCCAATGCAACGAGCGGTAAGTGTGTTTCGTTATTACAGGGGCCAAAAAGTGCATTTCCCATGTGAGCTATCTCCCAAATATATTAATTGAATTCAAATCAAGCCAAATTTGAACCTTGTTCTAATCCCTTAGCTTAGAACGCACTACTTGTTATTTATTTTGTCACTCAACTTGTGTCCCATGACCAACTGTCACACAAAGTGCAAGAGAGGGTCTACGACAACCACGGAAAGAAAGAAAAGAATAGGAATAAGGAAAAAAGAAAAAGAAAGAACAGATGGACTTGACTTACAGCCCCCAAATGTCAATCGCAGTGGTTATAGGTAGTTGGGAAACCTGCGGCTGGCGCTCCGGTGGATAATATCGACAGGGGTACTCAATGGCTGCCTTTACTTCGACATTGCCGCCTGTGTCAGTGTCGAGTGGGAGTTGTTGGCAGGATGAGAATCCTGAAGAACATTAGAAGTCAGAGATCACGTGAGTGCACAACGTCACGATGACGGAGGACATGTGCACTGAACACATAAACAAAATAATCTGATCTTTCCTGAGTTGAAAACATTCTGAAAACGTCAAGTACGATCACGAACACCATGACCGCAGCTGCCCTCCCCCCCCCCCCCCAACACGGCGGTTTGAAAGCACCGTAACCTAAGCCACAACTATCACTAATGCCAGCATCACCACCGCCAGCATCAACACAGCCAGCATCACCACAATCAACATCACCAAAATCAACATCATCACAATCACAATCAACATCACCAAAATCAGTATCACTACCCCCAGTATCATTACCACCAGCACCACGTGCACCACCGACGCCGCCGCTCGGAGCCGCTGCCCCCCCCCCCCACTATCACCACAGTGACGTCATTCATTATGGCCATGTTCACATAAAGCACTCACCTAGTATCTTGACAACTCCAGATTCTGTTACCATTATATTATCTCGGCAAATGTTATTGTGTAAGATGTCGGCCTCGTTCAGGAACTTTAATCCTTTGAGTATCTGGTGTGTAATGGGCCGCATTACGTATTCCGGAACCCTGGCATACGCAGAATCATCTTGGATTTCCCTCAATGTCCCTGTGCAAGATCAGAAAGTGTCAACAGCAAACCATTATGACAAGGTCGGTCTCATGACGTGAACCAAACACGAACCCTAACATTCTCGCTCCACATAATACTGGCACACACAGAGACAAAGACAGCAATAGCTACAACACACAAAGTGAAGGGTAGTTGGCCGCAGCCAGATGTAAACCGGATAACGAGTGACGTATGGAAGCCAGAACTGAGAAAAGAGTGTCTCAGATGGAATAAGCGTGCCAGTGGATAGCAGAAATAGGCCATGATGTAGAACCACTTGGGACCGTCAGATTAATTTTCCTGGACCGAGCCAGCCGGGAAAAACCCTCGCGCCGACGGACGCAGTTCAGAGGAAAAAACGGGGTGTTTTCGGGTGAAATAGGCATAATGTACATTGTAGGCATGGCAAGCACATCACGGCAAAAAGTGATAGAAAAGCAATGATAGTATGGCCAGAAATGAAGGGTGGGAGGGCAGGGACACTGGTGAGACTGAAAACAATAAATTAATTCTTGGTTCTCAGTCATAATGTATTCTCTCTCGGCTCTTGGTTTTTTTCTTTCAATATTAAAAATAATCTAAAGCACGCCAATATTGATATTGCTGACTGTTTTGAACTGGCTCTAGACAAGAAAAAATGGCTGATGCTTGTGGAAAAATGTGCTGCGCTTGCGTAGTTGTTCTTACTGCGATACGTTCTAACAATAAGGAGTTGCCTTTTGTCGGCTCTTCCGCCTGGACTTCGTTGACAGATGCGTTAAGCCCATGGATCCTTCCATGAGTGACATGCGAACTGTAACTATTATTATTAATACAGTCGTCCCTCTCTAATCCGGCACTTTATAATCCAGCACCCTCGATAAACCAGCACAATTTTCAGTAGCCAAAATGTCCTCTTCATGCACATTGCAGCAGTAAATCAGATTTGTTAATCCAGCACCCTCCCTAATCCAGCAGATTTTCGTGGCACAAATGGTGCCGGATTATAGAGGGACCACTGTATAATTATTATTACTTGGCGTTGTGTTTGTGTGTACGTGTGTTCTTTCATTCTCCTGGGTGATTACCAACAGCTAGTGTATGCCGGAGTATGTGGTGCGGTGTGTGTGTAGAAAAAATGGAAAAATGAAAAATAGGGATTCACTGGCCAGAAAAGTCACTTCAAACAGCTGTGTGGTGGATACCAGGCTAAACATTGTGGCGGTCAATTCATCAGCCTTGCAACCTGATGGTGTAATGGTGTAATCCCAGCACAAGTTGCTATGTCTAACATAGCCGTTCGCTATCACTGCTTCCGCGATGGGCATGTCTGAGGTCTGAGGTGTGTGTGTGTGTGTGTGTGTGTGCGTGTGTGTGTGTGTGTGTGTGTGTGTGTGTGTGTCAGAACAATAGATGGCCTGATCAGTCACAACTTAAAGTTTCATGCCATTTCAGGCACTCATCAGGTGATGTGAACATCAAGAAAAATAACCCACTGTGCCAGCTCGGTTGTACCGTTTTATCACTTATAATCACCTTTCTTTCTTAGTACCGCGATCCTTACTGGCTATGGCACTGAATCGGATATGAGATGATGGCGCCCCTAGCGCTTTCTGTTATCCTTGTACCGCCATACTGGGCTTAAAATAGTGGGTTATTTTTCTTGATGTTCATATCACCTGATGAGTGCCTGAGATGGCATGAAACTTTAAGTTGTGACTGATCAGGCCATCATTAATTCTGACTAGTGTGTCACGGCTCTATATTCCCGGTAGCGAGCACTCTTGGATTTCTGTTGAAATTCACAACAGTGTATACAGCACATCTGTATGTACATACTCAATGCTGTAGACAGCAAGCTGTTTCGGCCATAAAGCCCTCAACAGTACAGCTACGAGCTAAATGGGCTGAGCTACTAGCTATGGTGAAAAGGAGGCCCCACAGATATTAAGATAGCGCATCGTTCTAGCGCTGGAGTGCTCAAAATACAAAAAGTAGCGGGCAATGCGTGACGCAGCAGCGCTAGAGTAGCCTACTGAGAGTGCTTAACAAGACGAAAGCCGAGGAGCGTAATACCCATATAATTATTTAATATGCTGTCTACAGCATTGGGTATCACGCTCCTCGGCTTTCGCCTTGTTGAGCACTCTCAGTAGGCTGCTCTAGTGCTGCTGCATCGCGCAATGCCCGCTACTTTTTGTAGTTTGAGCACTCTGGCGCTAGAGCGACGAGCTATCTTAATGTCTGTGGTGCCTCCTTTGCACCATGGCTGGTAGCTCGGCCTATTTAGCTCGTAGCTGTACTGATGAGGCCTTTATGGCCGAAACAGCTTGCTGTCTACAGCATTGGGTATCACGCTCCTCGGCTTTCGCCTTGTTGAGCACTCTCAGTAGGCTGCTCTAGTGCTGCTGCATCGCGCAATGCCCGCTACTTTTTGTAGTTTGAGCACTCTGGCGCTAGAGCGACGAGCTATCTTAATGTCTGTGGTGCCTCCTTTGCACCATGGCTGGTAGCTCGGCCTATTTAGCTCGTAGCTGTACTGATGAGGCCTTTATGGCCGAAACAGCTTGCTGTCTACAGCATTGGGTATCACGCTCCTCGGCTTTCGCCTTGTTGAGCACTCTCAGTAGGCTGCTCTAGTGCTGCTGCATCGCGCAATGCCCGCTACTTTTTGTAGTTTGAGCACTCTGGCGCTAGAGCGACGAGCTATCTTAATGTCTGTGGTGCCTCCTTTGCACCATGGCTGGTAGCTCGGCCTATTTAGCTCGTAGCTGTACTGATGAGGCCTTTATGGCCGAAACAGCTTGCTGTCTACAGCATTGGGTATCACGCTCCTCGGCTTTCGCCTTGTTGAGCACTCTCAGTAGGCTGCTCTAGTGCTGCTGCATCGCGCAATGCCCGCTACTTTTTGTAGTTTGAGCACTCTGGCGCTAGAGCGACGAGCTATCTTAATGTCTGTGGTGCCTCCTTTGCACCATGGCTGGTAGCTCGGCCTATTTAGCTCGTAGCTGTACTGATGAGGCCTTTATGGCCGAAACAGCTTGCTGTCTACAGCATTGGGTAATTATTTAATATGTGTGAGTGTGTGCTTGTGTGACTGACTGTGTCTGAGTGTGAGTTCATGGTGTGCATTTGTGTGCGTGGGCAAGAGTTTTGTTTATGCGTATATGTATGTATGGGAGCATGCACCACGCATTGACACACACGCACATACACACACATCTACGGGCCTCAGGCTGCGAAAATGGTGCTATTGGCCTCACGCGCACAACTGAGAAAAGGGGACTTGAAAGCAGGGTACAGACCTTCACTCTGTAAAGGTGCCGTCACATCTGTGACCGTAACTATTTAAATACTTCGAGATTGTGTGTATGTGCGTCTGTGTGTCAATGCGTGGTGCATGCCCCCAAACAGATGATAGTCTGCGTATCTCCTGAACACCTGTTTTGTTTGTCCAGGAATCTTTTAAAGGATTCTTACTGAAGCACACACGAAACAATACTTACAGCCGTCGAGACTTTCCATAAACATTGCCACGCCACCTGGGTACTGCATAGCACCATAGAACATCACGATGTGCGGATTGTAACACTTCTTTAAACTTAGCACCTCGCTCACAACGCTGTCGATCAACTTTCTTGATGCATTAAACATTCTACATTTGACCACAGACTGCAGAGAAAGAAAAGCCGATAGCAGCAACATGTGCGGGCTCTTTGATTAGCCAAGGAATCAAATAGCAGGGTCATCAACAGGAATATATGTACAACTGAAACACATTCAAGCAGGCTATTGATGACACAAGGAGCACGATTCCCTGTTCCTCGTTGGACTTTGTTTTTTTTTTAACGTCAGAGGGCTATTGAACTCCGGGCCTATGCAAGGTATGGTTTCGGTATGGAGCCTGGAGGATGTTGGCGTTTCGGTTTGTCACAATTCGTCTTCGCTTAGCTTCTCCTTCTATGTTTATTACATAAACTTGAGCCTCCCCAGTTGGGTGGTCTGCTCCTTTGCGTCGTCGAGCTGTAGTTAAGTAAGGCCGGTCTGTCCAATAGTCTCACTAGTTTTGTCATCATCCAGTAACTTTCGGCATTCTTTGTTGCCGTGTTAGAGCTAGGTGTCAGGTGGCCGAATGTCTCAGTACTCCTTGTCAGTTTTGTGCCATTTTGTCGCACTTGCTGACTGTATAAGGTCTGGCTACGTTGGTGGACTGTTTGTCATAACTCGTAACATTTTGTCCTTTTCCTTTCTTCATCAAGACTCTTATTGTGCATAATATATTCTGCGGCATTGATGGTATCTGATGTCGATGGTGGTACAGTGTGTATATGTTTGCACGGTTAAACCCGCCTTGTAATACCCTTCATGTTGAGGTTGTATTTTACACACGGTTTTCTACATAACATAATATTTGCGTGGTCCCAGAGATTACGTTATATGGCGAGTAGACCTGTACCGATACCTGGCGCAAGCCCGTACCTGTCTCGTACCATACCATCAAGGAGAGCATCTGCATACGCCTGGCACTATCCCGTAGCTGTCCCGTACCATACTGTCATGGCCAGCATGGGCAAGCCTAACGCTACCCCGTACCTGTCCCGTACCGTGCCATCAAAGACAGCTGATCACAATATTCAAATAGGGCTTCCAAATGCAAGATCATAATGTGAATCAACTTGGAAGAATGAGTATGTATGCGAAGTGTATCGGGGAAATGCATGCAGGGCGATAGTGTGGGGTCGAATCGTTATGACTAAACAAATTGGAGAGTTTTTTTTAAATATTGTCTCACTCGCTGACTGTATAAGATCTGGTTACGTTGGTGGACAGTTTGTCATAACTCGTAACGTTTTGTCTTTCTTCTTTTCACAATAGGAGAATTGAAATATTTATAACATCCCTATGAATTTTTTGCAAAGGTCATCAAGATGGTAGACGGTGTCGTATTACCCTCGAATGCAAAGAGAAAGTTGACTCTCGCTTGGCAAAAAAAGCATAGCGTAGGGCCCTGATCTTCCAAGCTCTCTCGTTTCGTGTTTGTTTGTGTCACGCCTGGCGCTATCCCGTATTTGTCCCGTACTGTACCATCAAGAGAATGAGTATGTACAGCAGCATTATTCCCGTAGCTAGCGGCAGACGTTACTTCAGTAACGTCTGGCGCTAGCCAGGGTCCACACAGCTTTAATTCCCGTAGCTATGCAGAAGACGTTACTTCAGTAACGTCTGGCGCTAGCCAGGGTCCACACAGCTTTAATTCCCGTAGCTATGCAGCAGACGTTACTTCAGTAACGCCTGGCGCTAGCCAGGGTCCACACAGCTTTAATTCCCGTAGCTATGCAGAAGACGTTACTTCAGTAACGTCTGGCGCTAGCCAGGGTCCACACAGCTTTTGGTATTTGTGTGTTTGTTTGTTTGCGTCACGCCTGGCGCTATCCGTATCTGACGGCAAAAAAGCATAGGATATTATACATTTTTCAATTCTCCTATTTCTTTTCAGGCATATCCTGGGATTCGAACCCGCACAATCGCCCAACATGCATTCCCCCATACACTTCGCATTCATACCCATTCTTCCAAGTTCCTTCACGTTATTATCTTGCGTTTGAAAGCCCTATTTGAATATTGCGGGCAGCTGTATGTGGCCAGCTGTGTTTGATGGTACGGTACGGTACGGGAGACGGTGTCGTATTACCCTCGATCGTACCTATCCCGTACCTATCCCCTACCGTGCCGTGCCATCAAAGATGGCTGACCACAATGCATATTCAAATAGGGCTTTCAAATGTAAGATCACAATGTGAAACAACTTGGAAGAATTAGTATGTATGAGAAGTGTATCGGGGGATGCATGCAGAGCGCGCGATAGTGCGGGTTCGAATCCCAGGTTGTGTCTTAAAAAAAGGATTTTTTAAAGAATTTATAACATCCCTATGCTTTTTTTTGTCTAGGTGATCAAGGCAAAAAAGCATAGCGCAGGGCCCTGAGCTTCCAAGCTCTCTCGTGTATAGCATTAAAGCGGTCAGCACCAAGAAATGAGAGACTGTAGAGGCCTGGCATATTTATGCGAAGTGTATCGGGGGAATGCATGCAGGGCGATACTGCAGTAGCGTCTAGCGTTAGCCAGGGTACGTTAATGATTTGGCAGGTTTGGATCATACCTCACTCTACGCGGACGATACAGCGCTCCATATAACCTAGCCAGGCATATTACAAGCCTGCGACTCGCGACAGTATCACTTTAATCACGTTGTGCGCTGGATGTCGAAGTGGAAACTCCGCCCCAATGTGTCGAAAACGGCAATCATGTGTATCCCCCACGACCCTCCAGTGACCTCACCCTCTTTACGACTCGGCTTTTTACTTTCCCTGATGATCCCATTGCTATCAACATTGTTAAAAATCACAAACATCTTGGTATATTTCTTGATGAACACTTGTCCTGGAATTCGCACGTAACCTATATTGAAAAGCGAGTTTGCTCTGCGATAGGCTGCATTTCTCCTCACATCTCCCATCTACACCATTGTTGTCGAATACAAATTTATCACTCTTAGGTTCTTCCTTTTTTTTGATTACTGCTCTCTCGTTTGGTCCTCCGGTCTATCCTCCGCTCTTATGCACCGGTTAGAAGTCACCCACCGTAAATTACTTCGATTAATATTTCGCATGCCCCCTCTGACCTCCTCTCAGACGCTATACATTTTGGCTTCCTCAGCCCCTCTCTCAGAACGCTTTCCCCACTTGGTATGCAAATTCATTCACCGTATTAAGCTTTAACTTGCTCCTCCTCATGCACTTGCGAATCTAAGCTGTTTCAATAATAGCTCACGTACTAGATGTTCTCTCCATTTCCCACTTGCCAGATCATCGATCCTTTTAAAATCCCCTCTGTTCAAGTCCTATTCTCATTGGTCTCGGCTTCTGCAGGAGGTAAAGTCTCGTGACACCTTCGCTGCATTTTGTTCCATTCTGCCCGCGCCTAAGTTGAATTGAATTCGTTGTTTTCCATTGCTAGCCTAATCTTCATACTAGTCTCTCCAGGTTCCTTTACTACTCCTTTTGTTTTGGTTTGTTTTCTCTTTTTCTTCTCCTTTTTCCCAGTTGTCCCCACCATGGCTGGTTAAAATCGCCCGCATCACATGATTATTGGCACTATGTCATCGTGATTGTGGAATAATAATAATAAAAATAATAAAGGGTCCACAAAACTTCCTCCGTTAACAAAAACTTCGTGATGGATTTTGATGGATATGAAAACGCTTAGAACAACTTTCTTTACCCACGAGACTCACGTCGGACTGCAGACTTGAAAGAATGCATGGTCAATCAGCATTCGAATCTCGGGTTTGCGTAGGTTGAACAAGAACCTGAATTCAGATTTATTTGATTGCGCCTTGCTAACGGAGCAGCTGGCTATTTCTTTCGCTCAGGGCCCTACGCTAGGCCTTGTTGCCTAGCTCATCATGCATGTTATTCGAACAGATCGATACTTTTGGCCATACAATGATGTAGCAGATCAGTTCGTTGTGGTATGGTTTGTAATTGTAGCCATCATGGTCGACGTAGAACACTATAAACCGTAACGAAGTTGGGGCCAAAGAGAATGTTCCATCAGTTCTAATAACATGCATGATGAGCTAGGCAAAAAAGGATAGCGTAGGGCCCTGAGCTTCCAAGCCCTCTCGTTTAGATACGAAAACTAGTCGTTTAGGGTTGAGCGCCTGCTCGTATCTCGAGAAAATATCGATGGACAGTTTGTATGAGAGGGCGCATCCAGAAAAGAATAGAAACATTATCGATACTATGCATCACTTGTATGTGTTCGTTTCTGAGGGAGGGGAGGGGGTTGCAAAGAAACGACTAGTTTTCGTTTCTAACTAAAGGTCGGTATTTACGGATGGCCCTCATGTCTTGGCCTTTACAGTTGCTGTGTGAGCCATTTTTTTGCTCTATTCTCTCTAAGAGCCCGTGGAGAGAAGCGCATTTTCGATTTTAAATTGATTAGCGCAGATGTATGTAACGCGTTGAATTAGTGGAGACGCGGCCAAATATTTTTCTAGATACACAAAACCATCTAAGATTCATAACTCGCATCGTCTCTACGTGTGATGATACATACATATATGTACCCGCATTCGCGCGATTAGAGCCCTCTCATGAATTATGCGGATGCGGAAAACTCGGTTTCCAGCCGAGTCTCACGCGAACCGTGAATTTTTCGATTTTTTTTAATGAATAACGCCCTGTCTCGAATAGTGCTAGGAGCCAGTGAAAAAATACATCCCCTCTTGAATATTGCCCCCCCCTCCCCCCACAGGTCTTGTAACCACGCGCATGTGCAAGTTTGGTGACCTTTCGCTGTTCTTGTCCATGTCATTGAACTGTTGGTATCTGAATTCAAAATTGCATACATGCAAGATGACAGACAAAGGGAAACAAAAACATACTTACGCTTCCTTCAGTCATCTCACCAGGAATGTATGCGGGAAAGACCTTGCACCGACGTCCACTACTGATTTCTTCATCCGTAGGCACAAAGATTACGTCCGCGATTGAGTCTTCCCCTGGATATGTTTTCGGGCCGAAAATCTCATGCGGTAGGTCGAAATTCTCCATGTAATTGAAGTGGCCGGGCCATATTTCGCTGGGCCTACGATCGTATCTGTGAGAGTACATGCATATGGTAGGGAAGCCACTGTCACGAGCAAAATGGTCTGAAAAACATAACACGTGCGCAGACAATGGAAAAATCAGAATGCATGCCTTTCAGCTTTTAGCGCAGCATGCGACAATCTGTGGAACGGAGCAGAAAAAAATTAGTTCACAGTAGAGCATCGAACTGGCAATCTGGTGGGATGGGCCCTTCCCTTCACCACCTTTAGCATTGTACAGGTGTTGTACATGCTCATGATTATGGGCACCATTGCAAGGCCAAGACTACCCCGATATTCTACGACTGTATCGCCCGACAAGTATCTGCAGTCCTGACTCTCAGCACACCTGCCAGGATAGTGCAATTTAGGGACGCACGGGAGTCATGTGAAGAAGAGGTTGGTGCGACTTCGGCGACAGTTGGCGAAGTGTGTGTTCTATAGTCATGGCTAAGGAGATCTGAGCATAGTGTTAGAAGTAACGCCGCTGGTCCATTGCAATTCCATCATGCACCGTCGATTTCTTTGGCCATAAATGTGCGATGTTGGCAAGGAAGCTTCACTGTCGGGAACCGTCTTTAAACCTCCCCACGCAGCTCCCAATATATTTGTCCGTTCATATCAAAATCCTCCGCCGCGGTGTGCGAAATTATAGCCTAAGGCCAGAGCGTTGAGAATGGGCTAGGAGCCTGGAGGGCCGCTTCCACCCCTCCGTGTGCAACATACATGCTTCTATGTAGTGTTGGTTTCAGGTTTATTGTGCTGGATACTGATGATCACTCTTTGTTCATTATCATCAGTGAGGTTTGTGCTGGGAGAGCATTGAACGATTTCCAATGATGCGCCAAGCACAAACCTGATTCAGTTATTCGCTAGCTTGAGCTCGCTGTTTTACCGCCATGTGCATTGGCCAGATATGCTTCTCATGTCTTTCAAACCACCCATCCCTTCCTCACTCCATTTTACACTAAAACGGAGGCTTTGAATTTCCGTCAGCTGGATTAAATCCGCCGTTCTGCTACCGGGGTGGGCATGACGCGCAGTCAGAACGCAAACATGCCATACCTGGGTAATGCAAACCTTAAAAAGTAGATAAAAATATAAATTTGGTATTCGGGGGAGCCTTCTCGTTAGTTACAGGGGTGTCGTTTTAGGACACTGCCCCATCCGTCGGTAGGTATGCATCGAGCACTGCAAAATACATCAACAAGTTGCGCTTACCTTGTTTTAATCTTCTTTTAGCTTGGCAATGTAGGTACCAAAATCTCCTCCTTCGGAAAGTGATCCTTGCCGCATCAGTGGAAGCGTATACATGACTCGACACAAGCACTGGACTTGCATACAAGTGTGTATGGGCATATGCATATTGTATGCTAGGGGCAATCATTCGTCAGGACCGCGCCTCCATTCGCAAGGGAATTTCCCCACATCCTCGAGCATCCATCTGTGTGTACGGAGGGCTTGTACTAAGCATTTCCCAAATCGGCCGGCCGAAAAATTCGCCGAAGACAGTGGTTTTGAAGACATCACCTATCTTTTTGCCGAATATGACTTTTCCCCGCTGAATTCGCAGAAAATCGATGTTTCGCCTTACGTTCGCTTCCTCTAGAGCCTGTAAATGCAGGTATTTTATGGAACCATGGTACTGCTAAAGGTGCCTCCGACTTTACATGCTTTAGGCGTTTCCGAAATCGGTCAGCAGGAAAATACGCCGAATTAGCTCGATCTTTTTTTAGTATTTCTTTCCCTGATATGCTTTCTGTCTCCAAGAAAGTTACTGAAACTAGCCAAATTGTTTTCAGTGATCTGGTGAGTGGTGTGGCCCAGAGACCGTTTGGAGAGTGTTGTGATGATGTATGGGTAATTGCCACTATATCCAGGATCTTTTCTCGGAAAGGCTGTGCAAGTGGCCATTCCTGACATGGCGCTTGGCTGTCGTACGTTTAACCCCACGAATAACGACAACTCGCCACCAACACCGTTCTCATGGCCGATCGACTGTTACTTTTTGCAGGCAGTATAATATACTGTCAGGTGCTGAAGTCCCCCGCCGTGGTGCCCACCCTGTGATGTGAGCTGTCACCCAACGCACTGTGATGGTTCAATAGAGGTTTGCGGCCAAAGCAGGGTAACCTGGTACATGCATATACCGGCAAATACATCCACGCGTCATCTTCCCGACATTTTCAGCGCGATATACGCGCGAGGGTACTACTTCATGTTCACCGTGACTCCCTGTATGTGAAAGGGCGGACCTATTACCATGGTTACTTCAAACCATCCACTGGTACATTCTAATCAGTACCAGACAAACAGCTCCAGTTCCTGTCTCTAAAAGTAGTATCGTTTAGCACTGCGGTCACCCACACCTTTCAAATCCATGCCGTTATTCAATCTTTAACAACGCCGCTGTCATTTACACTTTTACTTTGAGGGTTTGTTAACCACTATACAGAGTTACCCATTACAGTTTTCTAATGAGGGCTTAGTACGTGAAACTCGGAGTTAAAACACTTTTTTTCATCCTCTTATTATTGTGTAAGAAAGGAAGGTAGACCAGTTCTAACCATTTTCAGTATTCTGACAAACTTCACAGATTGGGAGACGCAATAGTGATAAAAACAAGCTGCATTGAGGAATTCGTCAAGCAAGCGTCTAGAACGACTTGGAATCGTGTTGCTGAAGCGGTGAATGGGAGCGGAATGTCTTGTGCTAAAAAGATACATAACGGAAGTAAGTAATTTGAGTTCCTTAAGCTGGCTCTTGCCGAATAAATTTGGATGAATATATCCTTTATAAGTGATTGATGCAGCACAGAGACTGCTTGGAGAGATTTTTGATGATGTGCTGTAATACAGGATGGCTACAGTTTAGTCTGAGCATATAGAGAATGGCAGCCATCGACAGCAGTAATCACAGGCAGGCGATCAGCAGTAAACCATAAGTAAAATGAAACGATCTCTCGGTGGTATGCTCAAAACATCTGGAGTAAATATACAGGGTTTGGAAAAATTAAAAGCCACAAGACACTATCTGAATGACGCTTATTATTGCGCTGAGATTCAGTGATTCGGGACACCCTAAGCATGCACTGGAAGTGTGCACTCTGTGGGCTGACGGAAGTCCAGTCCTAAGTACCGGTAAAATAAAGATTTAAAATCAACAGAAACAGTGATTCAAGAAGGATAAAATTAATAGGGATGCGTTTTGGCCAAGAACTACAGTAGCAGTTTGCCTGTATGTGTAGAAGCAACCCAGTCTCTAAGTCCATTGCCGTGCAGGCATGCGAATTGAAATGGCATTCCCAGTATATTATGTGATTCGCCGATCAGATAAGGGACCTCACTACTTTCTCTCTCTCCCTCGCTCTCTAACTCTTTGTCTCTCCCCTTGCATGCTACATGCTGCTCTGAGAAACTTGATGACACTCTATGACGTCACTGCAAGTCAACGTCACCGGTTTCTGGTTGCTCGGCTATACCTGGCAATGCAGGAGTCCTACGGCAGCCCCCTAGTGTACATTTAGTGGTGCTGCCGGCTAGGCATTGGACATCGCCTTCGGATCTCTTTTGCTCAGGCGCAGTGAGACTTGCAGGCTGACTGCGAGAGTTGGCATTGTAGACGATAGCCAACCAGCTATGGCGGTCCCTTGCAAAGGAAAATGGGAGATGCAGAAACACATAGAAAACAGATATTTAATGTCAAGAAAATACAGAGAGCTCCAGACAAAAGAAGACTCTTATAGAGATTGTGGTGGATTGGTAGATATGAGTACACGTAGATACATGTAGGTAAAAAGCTGTTTTCTAAGGATCGCTTAGTGCTTGAAACTCGGAGTTAAAACACTTTCTCTGTCCTCTTATTGTTTGTAGGTAAAAAAGATAATAATACTTCACCTCCAATCCGCAAGACACGAACAGTCATTGGCTACACCATGTAAAGCGGTTTTTTCCAATAACTGCAATGCCTAAATAAGAACAAAGCGGAAAAATAGAGCGGTTGTACGCTGAGAAACCTCTTTTTTTTAAGTAGAATCGCAAGAAGAAAATTAAATTCGCTCTTACCTGAATGCTATATCGGCTATTTCCTTAGCTGACATTCCCAGCCTAAATGCCAGACGCTTAAGCACCACTTTGTCCAGGTTGTCAGCCGAGCTGGGGACTTTCCTGTGGACATGACTTGTCAAGACAGCAGGGGAAGCGTGAAAGCGGGTCTTGAACCAACGGTGCTTCAGGGCAGTTTCCGCATCAGGTCTGTGACCAGGCTCAAATTCCATCATGCTCATGATGAGGTTTCTGAAATCTAAGATCGTATGAGGTGAAAAGGAGCGGCAAATAAAGAAAAGAACTTTGAAATTTCCAATGGTTCCTGATCATCAGGACCCCGGCACAATAGGCACACTCATGACACTCTATGTGCAGACCAGCCTTTCTGATGAATACCCCCTTAGCTATGCATAACACCCTCCACTCTGGTGCGAAGTGCAGTGTATAGTGATTATCGCAGCATTGTCTCCCTCTCCGTATGATCGCTCTCCCGAACATGCTGGATGTAAATAGATAAGCCAATGTCTTGTTCCGCACTGAATTCCTTTGTGGCTTGCAGTCAGGAAATAACATGACTCTAGCATACTGCTTATGCTAACCCTGATTGTGCCTGGCCATGCAAGACTCCTACGAATGAACTCGAATCATTGTAGTGCCAAACTCTCATGAAACGTGGTTTCTGACTCAATACAGATCATTATCACGGCTTCCCTGCAAGCAAACTTGAAGGCAATTTCTGACGTAATAATAGACCCATTGCAGTCATTGCATTGGTAAACGAGAGAGCTTGGAAGCTCAGGGCCCTACGCTATGCTTTTTTGCCTTGATGACCTAGACAAAAAAAAGCATAGGGATGTTATAAATTAAAAAAAAATCCTTTGTTTTTAAAACATAACTTGGGACTCGAACCCGCACTATCGCGCGCCCTGCATGCATCCCCCGATACACTTCGCACACATACTAATTCTTCCAAGTTGCTTCACGTTATGATGTTG